TAATTATGAAAATGAAGAATATATTTCTCTGAGATAATCGAAGAAAATAAATTACAACAATTTTATTTTCTAATGAAAAAGGAGAAAGAGTGTCTGTAAATTTACAATGAAAACATGCAATGCAAATAAAGCAACATGCTAAAATACTATACTATTTCAATTGCTCAGGCAATTAAAACATACATCCATTTAAATTAGATATATTTTAATGTGAATAATTAGCATCAAAAGTTTATAACATTACTATAAACTGTAGATGCTAAAGAAAAATTAAATAAAATGAAAACAGTGTAATTAACGTAAAATGAAAACTAAAAAGAATCCATTAATAAGATATCAATTATTACTGATATACAAAAACAGAGCTAAAAGAATTATTTGACTTCGCAAAGTTTAACAATTTTAACACTTCTTATAATAATGTAAAATAAATGTTTATGAACCAGTATGTGCTTTATAAATCAATGATAATCTAAGAAAAAGGTTTATCTAAGTGGTCTTCAAATTACATGATGCTTAAGTAGTTTTTCCTATATTATAAAATCTAAAGCCCTATTATTTTCAATTGTAATGCATGATGCAAAGTACATTTAGTAAGTTTATGAACTACAAATTATTTTCATTCTGAATTTCAACTAAATGGTATTTAAAACATAATTTCTCAGTTCACATCTTATTCCAGTTTTATTTTCATAATTACAAGATTCACAATCCAAAACTGCAAACAGAATACTTCATTAAATAACTTGTAATTGAAGATTAAAAAAGAATAGTTGAATTTAATACTATAATCTCCGTCATTGAAAACAATAATACTATCCCTGGTAAACAATAAATGATCCAACAAAATAAACATTCATTATAAAAATATTTGCACGGAGGGCACAGAAAATGATTGATAGTAATAAAAATAGAATGAAATAGTTATATTTATATAAACAAACTATTAATACTAAAATCATAAAATATTTAATAACCTTCAAATATTAAAAATTTTTCATTGAATTCTATTGTCATCTTCTTTGTTAGAAGTATTAAAAATGTTCTAGCACTTTGTCATGTTGCTTACATAGTTCCTTTCTCATTTTCACATTCTAACGAATGATACAATAATTTTTGTTCGATAAAGGGACAATGACATTTATTATTTTGTTATTATTTTCTTTAAAAATTATGAATTCTTCTATTTCCGTGTATAATATAAACATAAGCAAAAATGTGGTACATATAAATATAAATATATGCATGTATATATACACATATATATACATGTATATATGCGTATGTATACATATATACATGGTATATTTTTTGTAAGAACGATACTATTTTCCGTTTTTGATATGTATGTAAAGAATTCCTGTAACAATCACGACAACAACTCTGATTCGACATTTTCTGCCAAAGGTAGCACTTGAAATCCATTTATCTCAAAATTTACCTAGCTCTGGTGCAATCGGACCATAGACGAAATTACCCCCCTCCGAATACCCCCGACACATCAATTGCTAGAATGATATTTACCTGATAGGGATGGGCCTGGTGCTTTTCGAAGTACCTGAAATCAGAGAAAGCGAAAAATGAATAAGACTGCAGCGAGAAAGGCGAGTGAAATTTTCATCAGGGAAAATCTCTGCCGCGAATGGCGGGTAGCAGTGATGTCGAACGGGTCGAATGGACGGAGTTCGGGTGGATGAGAGGTTGGTTGTGTCAGGATTGGATATTTGACGGCGGTACCCTACCCATCGCTGATCCGTTGCGGTTTCCTCGCATGCATTACCATCAATGCCGGTGTCTGTGGGAAATTCGCGGCCTCGGATGTTCCCTTTTCGGTCGGTCAATGTCATAAAAACAACATTAACGCTTATTTAACAGTCAACTTCTCTTTCTACCCGGACGCCATGTCACATACGTGATCGGCCGCTGCCGGTGTCAGCGTAGTCGAACGGTTCCCACCACGTCTGCGCTTCGGTGTGCAACTTCTTTCCACAGGAACGTACATACTAAGTTTGGAGCCACTGAAATATCATGATAGAATCGCGAAGCATCTGGCCGTAACATATAACCCCATCTACAGCAATCGCACTTAACCATAGGCAAATGTTAATGCGAGTACACGCCGAAAGATGTCCCGCTTTCATCTTTATCTGTGAAACAATTTTTTACGGAATAAACGTATTTGGCTAATTTTACATTTCACTCGTATTTAATAATTAACAAATTTCAATTCTTCTAGTGTTCCAAATTTTAATAGACAATTGTTGTAGATTTTCGTGCGTTACACAGAAATGTGAAAATTATTTTTCTCTATTACGCGCAATTTTTAAGAAAGTTAGTTCCAAAGAAAAGTGTACTTCTCAAACTTAAGAATTATTGTTAAGACCACTATTGATAATATTTATACGATATAGAACAAATAATATTGATTGCTGTTCATTCAAGTGATGCTTTAACAAGAAATCATCCTATTGATAACTATTAATCTTTCTTTTTATTTTTGTTAATCTAAATTTTTTATTTACGCAGTAATTTCAATATTTCAGGTCTATAATATAAAACGATTATGCAAGAGAAATGCAAGTTTTATCGCGAATATTTGATATGTTATCGTTATAACCCGACTTGGCATGAAAATCACAAAGTTATATTATGCGAAAATAGCAACAAAACAATTATTTAAACGCAATGAAACAAGGAAAAGTTATTAATATATTATTATATGTACATACATTTTATATAATTATTATATATAATATAAATATATTATTATATATAAAGTTACTAATATATTATTTTGTAATAATTATATATTTTTTTGTAATAATTCATATTATGCTTTGTAAATGAATTCTTGTCACATATTCGATTCTGATACATGGAATTTGCTAATTACACATACAAACATGTAAACGTATAAATGGGCATTTTATTTTTAAATTAGAAATTTTACAATAAAGTTTTACCAAATCTTTATTAAACACTAATTTTCGCGGTTAAAAGTAAACCGCGTTACTTTTCGCAGCAAACACTGAATACTTTCGCCGCACAAAAGCGTATGCTACTCTTCGTTGGGATAAATGAAACCATTCTACTTTTCAAAATCAAAATCAAGACATACGGCTTTTCGCCAAAATGTGCAAAGTGATAATTTTCGCAAAACAAATAATAGGTGCTACTTTTCGTAACGCATGCTAAGGTGTTTCTTCGAATACGCCCTTAATATTAATTAGTGTACATGCATGTGTACATATGCATCTAGAAATGTTTCAAATCAGACTCATACATTTGTTATAACATTTGAAATTTTTCGGAATTCTTCCGTGTTTTCTTTACAGAATTACAGGGTTCCTGAAACGCTACAGCCGTACCTGTGATCGTATATCCGTCGTATGCCTCGAAGCGCTACGTTCACGACGGCGTTAGCGTAGCGTTGACGCGAAGCATCGTGTCCGTCTGAATCTTCGAAGTAAATTGTTGTGTAAGTTCCGAATACACCGACAGCAGACGACACAACTCGCAGTGAAATAATCGTGCGGCGGCTGTGCGGTATTATAAACGCGAGAGAAACCAGAGCGATGAGGACGGTAATTCGAAAAGGGTGACGGCCGCGTTCGTTTAGTTTCGTTTTGTTCGCGGGCATGTAGTAGTAATACACAATACACAACACAGAGAGACGCAAGAAAGTGGGGGGGAAGTTCGGTGCCTCTGCGTTTTCGATACGCTTCCGAAAACAAGTTCGAATCGGGGGAAACTTGCGCACTCTCGTTGTTGACTGTCGTTGCTCCAGAATTTCTGTGTGACGTACCCCGTGCACTGACACACGCATTATGAACAAGCTTTCTCTACTTAAATGTTATGTCAGCATGCATACGATTGTTGTTCATCTGATCTGATTTTGTTATCTTTCGCGCGAATGGTGCGCTACACTGGGGATTTGTCGGACGAAGAGTAGGTAATGATCGCTTTCTTCTCCTTTTCTCCCCTCCCCTTTTACGTTTAATGCTGTTTTGCATATATAGCACTAAACAAATGTATTGCTATAATACAATTGTTGAAATAAAACTAATACTTGTAATACGTGTATATGCATATATATATATTTTCGATATTTGAAAATAAGAAACAATTGTTTAGACGTATATGTCATGTTTATATATACATGTGCATACATAGAATGATGTAGGCATGTATCCTCATAGTTCACACAACTGAAAAATAGTAGCAGGTTTAGCAGTTTAAATTGTAAAGGATTTAAAAAAATTTTCTCATTAATTTGCATGTGAGTTTGTATTGGATACTGCAGCTTGATAATTTGAAACATTTAATATTTGGCTTAACCTTTGTCAAGAATATTAATTTGTTTAAAATCTTTTTGTAACACTGCATTGAAGCGACAACTTAAATGATTAATTTTTGAATAACATATTCATGTTAGTGCTAATGTTTTTTCTTTTTATAAGAAAGGGAAAAAATCTTAATCCATATTAATAATTATTAAATAGTACAGGATATAACAGATGAAGTAGAAATAGAAATTTGATGAAGTAGTAGACAATTAAATTATTTTTTAATATAAAGTTAGCTTGTGCAATAATATGATGTATCCAAGAAATGAATGTAAATAAAACAGTAGCATTAAATTATTAGGTATATTTTTTATACCCAATAGATATAAAGAAATTAATGAGATATAAAGTAGGAGACCATAAACAACTCTAATACTGTTTCTTATACTAACAATAAAATAACGAATTATATTTATCTATTTACAAATTCATGTAGAAATTTAAATGGAACAGATAATGACTTTTCTTTGTTTTTAACTGATTGCATCTATTTAAAAATTTACTGTAAGATAAAAATTAATTATGCACATATTTTCAGTTTGAGTGTTCAAAATATTTTATATCTTTCATAAAATTTTGTAGCTAAAGATGATTAGATATAATTGTGATTTTTATATATTTTAGAGAAGTTTTATAGTAACGAAATGACAATGAGTAATGGAAACAGAATAAACTTGGACCAGATACACAGTGGTTTCATTGATATATCGGAAAATTATAAAAGTCAAGAATTTCTAGGTAGTTTATCTTTGGAAATTAAATCTTCGGATGATGTATTTCCATGGCTTATTAAATTCAATAAAATGATGTCTTCATGCGTAGGAAGTAGAAGTTCTCAGGTGTTAGAACACTTACTTTCTCTTTATATACAGTAAGTTAATCACTTTTTATTTAGAATTAAATTCTGTATAAGATTTTTTTCAATCATAATTAATTAATAAAAAATTTTATTTATGTTTAAAAAGCAAGTAAATTGTAATCGCCTGTTTCAGAAATATTGTAACCAGTATAAACACGCACTGTGGAAAAGCATTTGATACAATGAAATTAAAAAGTCATATAAGTAGTACCTTAACATTTTTTCATCTCTATTGGAATGATATTAAAGAGGTATTAAAAATAGGGTAATACTGTAACAGATGGTCGCATTCATCATTAGAAACAGTGTCAGAGGAAAAATCAGAGAATGCATCCATCCGCTGCAGTATTACTAGTAATTTATAAGTATATAAAATGTAAAAATAATTTAAAATGTAAATGTAAGAAGCTATAAAACATTTACTAATTAATTATTTTATAGTTTGTAGATGATTGTGATTCATACTTAAATGCAATGTCAGCATTGTTAAGTATATATGTAGACATGGAACTTAAGACTTTTAGAAATACTAAAGATTCTACTTCAATAGTTGCAAAACTATTTTCTGCATTGTGGATATACTTAAGTAAGTTGATATAAGTTGTAAGTAATAAAAAACATGTTACTTGTCAGTATTTTGTGGGATCTACTGATAATTAGTGATATTGATACTTTATAATTTTTATCATTGTACAATAAAAACATTATTTCAATCCTGTAAATAAGATATATGAAAATTGTGTAGCATTTAATATATAGATATAACATAAATGCTTTTTAGTTGTAAATAAATAGTACTTTTATGTAATATTAAATTTTATTTCAGATAATTCAGAGAAGCATATCTTCAGAGTACTACTTAAACTTAAACATAGTACTAAAAGATCTATCAAAATATGTGAACCTATAATCATGTACGTAAACAATTAATTTTTTTATTAGAAACAATTAATTTGGATGAAGAATTTGTTCCATAAAAAATTTCATATTGCTATTTTATTATGTTAGGAAAAGTTTTAAGTGTTTGAAAAGAAATCTGAAAGAAACATGGACAGATATAGAATATGTCAGATATTTGCTTATGTTAAAAATCTGGAAAAGATCAAAGGAAAATGTTGAAGAAATGAAAGAAGTGAATAAGATGGCTTTAACGATCCTAGGTCCACAATTACCAAAAATGCGTGATGACTTATTAAAGATTATACCAAAACCTCCTATAGGACATGAGAACGAAACACTTTGGTTACTACAACCAAACGTATTTGATTTAAAAACAGCATGCAGTAATTTTTTAGCATTTGAAGACTCATTATCTATTCAGTTGAAGAATTCTCCCTTAATAAAAAATTCTGAATCTAATAACTTTCAACGATCGCAGGTAATCTTCTACCAGTAGTTATGATATATTAATGGACAATCTTATGTTTAATACATTTAATTTTTCATATTTTTAGATTATTTCATCATGCAATATAAATGCTATGCAGGAATGTAACATGAATTTTGAATTGAATAAAAGTAAAACAAATAAGTGTTTCCAAAATATTATAGACTACAATAAATCTGTTGATCAAACTTTTTCTATGAAGAGAAGAAATAAATTCAAAAAAGTTAAAAAACCATCAAAACTGAAATCTGGAGAAATTATATTAATTGATTTAACTGAAGAAAACGAATCGTTTGAATTAGATGAAGACCAGAAGAAGAAAAAGAAATGTAAAAGGAAATTAGAGTGGTTAAAAATGATGAAGAAAAAATATAATGTACAAAAGCCGATTGTCGAGTTAAAATATAGGAATGAGGTGGAAATTGCAGATGTCCACAGCACAGAGAATTTTGAAAAGTCTGTGGTCAAAAACCACTTAGAATATTTACCAATTTCAGACAATAAAGTTAGTGAAAGTACAGAAAGCTATACATTAGAGAAACAAGAATTGTTCCAAAATGATATTCATACGAGTTCTCAATGCGCGCATAATTACATTCATAATAAAAAAAATAAAGAATTAAAATGCGCGTTTCAACATAATCAGTGTGATATCTGTACTTTACTGCTAAAACAGAATGATATACAACATAACAGGATATTATCTTTACTAAAATTTTTAAATGCTGTAGGACAGAATATTAAAGAACCAAAAGCCATATTGAATCTATTTAGAGAAAATAGAGAGCAAAATATGTCTTCTGAACATACATTTTTATGTAAGAGTACTACAAATGAATCTACAGAGATAAATATTCAGGAAGAAACATTTTCTCAGCCAAACAGTTCCATACAGTCAAACGAGTGCCAAGATAGAATTATAAACACACAATGCATAAAACAAGAATTACCAACAAGTACAGATTGTAATGTGACAATAACCGATGACCTTTACTATCAAAATGAGTCGGTTTGTGTACAAAATGATTGCCGTTCGCATGACTTTAGATCGTTGAGCGCTTGTTCGCAAATTTCAGAAACTGTAAAACAGAAACTTTGTGATATTCACGAATGCATGTGTTCTATGAAGAAAGTTGAAGTGAAACCTTTCATCTGTCATAATTACAATATAGTTAATACAGCGAAAAGCGAAAATACACTGCAAGCTGTAGTCAATGACAATGTCGCTAACAAGAAATCGTCAATTTGTGATAAAAATATCATTTGCATGCTAAGTGATTTGGATAAATGTATGGATGTTCTGAATCGTATCAGTGAACATATTATGACTGTACACGCGGAGAAACAACGATTAGAATGTTTAGACAAAGCTGATGTATGTGCCGTTTCAACTACAGTTACTAGGGATCAGAGTGCAAAATCGTCAATGGGTTCATCGCAAAATACCAATCTAATGAGTTCGGAAAAATTAAATAAACTGCTAGAGTTGCATGGAATAAAAGAAATGTTAAATGTGTGTAATTGTAAAGATTCTCACAGGTGGGATAATCAAGGAACTAATACAATGTTAAGTGAACTGAAATGTGAGTCAACAAGCTGTAAAAATTGTACGGTTTCAATGTCTCAACCAAAAGACACACATTTTCGTGAAAAGAATCATTTTACCTTCTCTGGGAATAAATTGTCGGATGAGTTTGTTTATAGTCACATAAAATCTGAATTTGAGCAGCTTGTGAAAGGAGAAAATATTGGAATATTTGAAACTATAATGGATCAATCGGAAATAGTAAATGAATGTAAGTCTTCTGTAATAGCAAATAATGAAACACTTGTCGGTGAATATTTTCCATATGATATAAAAACTGCTGAGTCTCTTAATGAAAATGTACACTCTGAAACTATGTCACAAAGCCCGTTACAAAAAAATGATATAACGAAAACACAATCTGTGGAGGAATTTGAAAGCATTGATATTTTAGACAGTATTCTAAATGGTCATATAACTATGGGAGATAAACAAGAGATTTTAGAAGAGTCACAATCTTCGTTAATGTCGCCTATTAGCTACGATAACTCGAATAATATGAACTGCATCACCGAATTTTTTTTGCAAACTGAAGACACATATTCAAAAGACAAGGAAGATAAATATACCATGTCAGATACAAAATATTCTGTAACACCATTACCTGAAAATAGTCTTGGAATTACTGGAATACTAAATTCGCTACTGGACATTGAATTAACAAATATGAATTCCCTACCAAACGATTTTATGTACTCTAACGTGCAAACAGTTAATCCACGATTAATTAAAAAAAGCCCTAAAAAAGAAAACTTATCTAAAATCATTAATTCGCACTCTCAAGAAATGATTACAACTGAAAGAAGTAATGAGGAAAATATGTTACCACAGAACAGAAATGTATCTTTTTCGGATCAGTCAATTACTTCGATCGTTTCAGATAATAAATCATCTGATCTAAAGGAATCATTCCCTATATGCAGTCTTTCTAGTCCTGTTGATAAACTTAATATTGATACTGTATTTGAAAAATGTTACATTTATCAGAAGGAGGATGTTACTAATCAAGTCCAACCTCTTGCCAATACATTAAATACTGTTTTGCGTGAAACGTGTATTTCCAATGATATTCCATCAAATGTATTAGCAAATTCTGAAAGTCGACAAGATGAGTTTTCATCATCGCATAAGCATGTTTGCGTGGAACTTGGATCAAATCCTCTTTTGATAAAGGAACTCCCAGGATGTGTATCATTGTCTTCCACTGAGTTAGTACCACCTAATAATGTCATAGATTCACTGTGTGAGGATTTGGAATATGGACATTTTTGGGAAAAAAGAAATGTTCAAGAGAATGTGCAACACAGCCGGAAAGAAAAACAAAATCATCTCCAAGAAAGGATAAAAAAAGAGAAAAAAGAAGAAGAAGAAGATGGAGTAGAAGAAGAAGAAGAAGAAGAAGAAGAAGAAGAAGAAGAAGAAGAAGAAGAAGAAGAAGTAGAAGAAGAAGAAGAAGAAGTAGAAGAAGAAGAAGAAGAAGAAGAAGAAGAAGAAGAAGAAGATGAAGAAGAAGAAGAAGAAGAAGGAGAAGAATTGATTTTATCTGTTGTTCAACCCAATCAAGATGAATTGAACTTAAGATGTTTGCAATTTAATGTTATTAATCCCATGAGTCATCAGGATGTTCAAAGCACGCGCAAAGCGTCATTATCTCCATTTAAAAAGTCGTATCATCAGAAATCACCACAGGCTGTATATGCACCTAGAAACGTATATAAGCAATTGAAATTGAAAATAAACAATTGTGTAGGTATTCAACAACCAAAGAACATGTTATCACGGAAAAAACAAATCTTATTAAATTATCATGGGGACTCTACGATAAACGCTATCTTCAAGGAAGATTCCAACCTGGAAGATTTTCAATGCACCATGGAAGATGACAACTGGGAAGATTCAATTATATTTAAATGTATGGAAAAACAGCATCTACCAAGAAACAAAACTCATTTCAAATTCTCTAAAAAGGATATGAAAATTGATACAGACGTTACCGAAGTAAATGTTCCAAGAGATAAATGTGTAACTGAAACTTCAAATAATATTTTCATTAAGTCTGGTATTAAATGGACATTGCGAAATATAAATGCACAATCATCGAGATATGTTAAAAACGAAATAGTTGCATTGGTAGATGAAGAAACACCTTTGAAGAAGAAGAAATTGACTTCTAAGTACTCCCCAAATGTAGAAACAACTACTACTGTTTGTTCTGAAAGTCAAAAAGGAATACAAAAAAAACATTATGCTGCTGTAAAGAAAGGTAAATTTATTTTGATTGTGCCTACTTTTCTCTCTTTCAAATGTAAATTAGTATTATTCTAAAGTTTTTTATTATATTATATTATTTAAATTCAAAAGTATGATTTACTTTTTTACGTAAACGAGAAGCTTCACGAGAAGCTTAATATAATACATACAAGCAAATTATCAATAATTTCAAATATCTCCATAGAAGATTAATTAAGGCACATCATCAAATAGATCATATCACATCAACTGGAAGATACTATTTCATTATTTTAAGTGCCTTATAACTATTTTATACTTGCAGTTTAAGACTGATATTTATATTTAAAAATTATAATGCTACTAACATTCAAATAAGTCAAAAATTGGCAATATGGTATTCATTTATAGAAATGTTGGACTGTAAGTAAACATCCTTTTAGTAGATATATGCTTACCTCAAAGTTGTTATTTGTAACTCCGTGCAAGACTTAAAAATTATCACATGCATATGGTTGCATAATATTAAATCTATTTACTTGCTAAAGTCCATAGAAGTATATTAGTATCAGAAGATAAGAGTATAGTCTGGAAATGTCAAAGTTTATTATACATTGTGATTATCCTAATGTGCAAGTGTTAAATATCTCTGTAGACGACATAAAACTCATTCGTGCACCAACATTACATTAACAATATTATTAAAAATGAAATGAGAAATAAGTTTACAACTAAAAGTGCAATTGTAATAAAAATGAAGAATACACATTATTTTGTACAATACAAAAAGAAAAAAATGTTACGTAAAACGATAAGTAACAAATCTGAGGTAAACAATTTGTCTGTCCTATGACATAGTGCGTCACTGTTCAAAATGATATTCTGTATGTATTCAATACAGTTTTGAGAGAAATTATATTACTGTCCTGAAAAATATATCTAATCAGGTAAGTTTACTTTAAAATAATTTTACAGTAGAAAGATATAAAATGTATAAAATTTGAAAATGAAATATGAAAAATATAATGTTCTTTAAATAGTTTCAATAGGAAAGGTTTCTCTTCTTTGAAATTTATGACGACATATTTCAATTCATACATGTTCTTCTTTAATATGAAATTATTATTTTAAAATATAACATACTGTTTGTAAATTAAAGAATAAAACTTTTTTGCAGGTTTAATATATACAAATGGAAGGAAAAATATGATACGTGAGTAAACTTGAAACATGTACAATGTTTCTAAAATAAGGTTTATGCACTTGTTAACGAGTGTTTTAACTTATGAGTAAGTGTTTTAAATGTATTTGCGAATAAATATGTATAAAGTTTTCTGAACTTTATACAAGTGAGAGTTACTGCAAAGGAAACATTGTGTAAATCTATATGCAGATTTTTCATTGTAAGATGAATTTTTAATTTTCAAAGATGTCAAGAATTGTTACTAGTATAGCGATATGTGTGATAAACTTTTAAATCTGTACTGCTTACAGATAGTGACATTTGTGCAAAAAGCCATATATACTCCGAATCTCTTATGTACAATACTGTTTTATACGATAAATTCTGACTACATAAACGATTATGATAATTACTTACAATTTTATAATCATGAAATTTGATTTCGTATTTTTATCGTGGTTACAAAATAGGATTTGCAGAATTGTAATGTATCCATTCCATCTTTATGAGTTCTACTATTTCTAACATAAATTTGATATAAAATCTGCAATCATGATCATGCTTTCATTGCTGATATCGTGATTATGAAACTTATTTTTCAATTTCCATAAACGTTCATTGTGTATATTTATATATAAAATGAATTTTAAAAGAGAGAAATATTTATACTAAATATTACTTATTCTATTTCATATATATATTACAATTTAGTATGTTTTAATATGTTTGAAAGTATTATTTTTTATAGTCATGAATTAAAATGTAGATCAGAGATTTTTGTATAAACATATAATTAATATTAATTTATTTGAAATTTAGGAGCACATAATAATATGTGGGCTTGATTAAAATTGAAAATGGAACTGTCTTTGCAGCTGTACTATAAATTATACTTAAAAGTATTAATATGTTCTTTGATAATGTATTACTTCCAAAGAATGTTTAATGAACAGGTTATTGCTCTTGCAAAAATACTCTATTTTCAGTGCAAAGTTATTGTAAATAAGCATAACTACTTAAGAAGTTTATTTTCTAGAGTACAATTTTTGAACAGGAAGTATAATTACCTAGATGCTATATACTTGATTGTTTTAAATGTTTCAAATCCTTTTTAAAATTATCATTTAAAAACTGTATATAGATGTAAATAACAGAAGTAATGATTTTGAATATAAAGTTTATAAATTGAACATAAGGTTAAAAATTAAAACACGTAAACGATCTCGTCACAATTTTCCTTAATTATATTCTTACTCTTTAGTTATAGTTGTTATTTTGTCTGATTATTAATAGATTTCAAATAGTGCAAATTACAAGAATAACTAAACAAATTTTTAAGCATCCGAATTTTTTTTTGTAATTTTATACAGAAGGCTGTACTTTATTATTCATATTTATTTTAGACTGAATACAATACATATTTTTAAAGAATAATGTATGTTAAAACCATTGCAAAATAGTTTTTTAAAATTAATTTTAATTGCATGACAAAGCGGAGAAAGTGCATTAAACTGCCAAGTATTATGCAAATAGTCTGAGGGTTTAAGTTTTTAATTAGTATATGAAATAATTACCATTTGATAATGTTAACTTCAAGTATTATATTTTAGGCTTTGCTCAAAAAGTATTACTTATTATATATTCAGAAAATACAATATTATTTGTGAAAACACAGACAGTTTAGAAATTATTTTTAAAATGAAATAAATTATTAGAATTTTATGGATAATTATTTATAGAAAGGAGTAGTACTGTATTGTTTGTTCAAATTCACTTTATATGGTGAGATTACAAAAAATTAAAAAATTTTATCTGATGACATTGAAAAAGTAATCTTTCATTCTGTTTGAAATAATTACTATTTTTACAGCGTACCTTATAAACTCTTAACTTCATTTTGTAAGTAATGAGAAAAGAGTAATAATGACAAGAAAAGAAAAAAGTATTATGTTTTTGTGAAATGTTAATAGCTGAAACTATGAAACTGTGCACTAATTTTTCAAAAACATAAAAGTAAAACAAATAATATAGAAAAATTTATACTACTAATGGAATTGTTCTTCTGTTCTCTTAAACAGACATTATTCAATCTTTTAATCATTTTTTTCGGCAAATATATTTATAGAAACAATAATTATAAAATAAATATTATTTTCAGTTTAATAATCAAATATAAAATAGTGCATAATTTCACACTGATGCTAAAACTAAAATAATTTAATTTTTAGCGCTTAAAAAAACGATTAGTCGAACATGTGTACCTTACGTTTGTAAATACTATTTAAGTGGACTAAATACTGCTATTTTTAATTATTAATGGTATTCAACTAAGATTTCCGTAATGTTGATAATTTCATTAATAATTTTAACTTTGATAGTACTGAACTACATTCATGTAACATTCCACTCAATTAACGTATTACTTATAAATATAATTTATTCATAAACTTAATTATTGTATGGATTAAAGTATAACTTATTTATTCAGTCTATTATTTTTTTACTATGATTGAGAAGTAACAAAGTGATCTAGATCGTGAATGTTCTTTAAGATTTAATATGTTGTCAAAAATAGACAGTATTAACTTGAAATTGAACCAGGAAAAGGTTATTCACCTATAATTCGTATAGAAGCGTATTAAACACTATTTTGCATTCTGGCATCAGCGAACAATGACAGAAGTATAATGAAATGAATAGTCATTTGTATTTTGTAGAAAACTATATTCTCGTTAAAGCATTTATGAACTGGATTTAAAAAAGATTGTAACAGTATAAAAATTGCTTGTTTAAAAAAAAACATGCATTAAAAAGTCATTAGATGTAAATGTTGCATAGAATACGATTTATTTATGTTGCACAAAGGAAAATTTATTTATGAACCATCACTTATTTTAAGTGGATATATATAGAGTTTTGACAAGTACATTGTACAAAAATCTGTTTCTCTCTTGACGTATTTTTTAAACATTATATTACTAGGAAGTTGTATGGTGAAATATTATACAAAAAATTTACAACACATTTTATCTCACAGAAATAATGTATTAATGTCTGAGCTTACTATCACCAAAAAGAACTGTGTTATATTTCATTATTTTTATGTTGTATATGCAAATAGCATCTTAATTAACAAAAACAGACTTGAATACTAATAGTTCATAATTACGATAATGTAAGTTTCTTCGTTTGAAAGAAAAAACAACAGAAAAATTTTTTAAATAATTAAATACAGTATTGCTTTATCATAAAAGTGTATCTTTCATATATGAATTTTTTTATTGTATTACCTAAAAATTAATCATTGAACATTCCCGAGCTACTATTTATACAGAAAAGTACTATAACTAATATAATATTATTAAGGTAGTATGTAAAATATAGAAAAACGGGTGTTTCATAAATTATAAAACTATCTCCGAAAGTAAGTTAACACTTTCATTAAATTGTTCTAAAAGATTAAAACAAGCAATTGATTACAATTTTAATATAAACATGTAAATGAGTTGGAGGATGTTGAACATATATTATTGTATAGAGCAGTAAATATAAGTCCGAAATTTTCAATGATAATAGACACCATGTTTGAAACGCTGTTAACTTACTTTCTACTCAAATTATATTCCCCTTTTCATAATGTTATGCATTCATTATATGTACAAATTGTTTAAAACGATTTTGTGATAATAAAAATTTCCATACTGTAATTAACCGATAATATTCCGAATGAAATAATGCATTAGAGAAACTTTTAATTCGGTCAATTACTTAGTAAAATATCCGTATATGTATATTTAAGTTATTGAACTCGTTTTACTATATCAAATATTTATAGAATTGTACAACCAAAGCGCTTAAAAATGTATGTTCAAGTATAGTTAAGAAATGGTACAGTTTGAAACATATTTTACCTGAATCAAATAACTTCGTAGCCATTAATTTTCCAAAGATTGAGATATGTAAATACGAAATTAACAGCATAATATGAGTTTATATACAAATGAAGTATGTGCCATTATATTTAAATAACCATCTGTGAAAAAGAAGAATGTAGATACTACTACTCATATTACCATTTTGTATACATTAAATACCAGTCAAAAGGTTCATAATTTTACATAATCTTTATAACTTCCATAAAATGCGATGCTACATTGGATAACTCATAATATAAAATGAGACTGAACAAAAGAATAAAATTCTTCTTTTTAAAAAAACTGTAGCTGTATAGTTTTTCTCTTTCCTCCAATACATTAAATATTGAACATTTCAACTGACGTTTAAAAATGTTCAATTTGATAAAATTATGTAGAATCATGCAATATTATTTTAGAATATTGTTTACCTTTTCAAGTATATTTTAAGAAAATAATACCTTATTACGTTATTAGTGTCTTGTCTATAAATTGTTATTAAGTTATTTTAATGTGCATGAATATAAATACATTTACAGTTATTATACATAAAATGTTATATATGTATTAATATATCAT